AAAAAAAAAAAAAAAAAAAAAGCCCCATGGTTGGGCCACGGCCGAGATGTCTCGGCCACACCCCCGACTGGCCACGACCGAGATGTCTCGGCCACACCCCAGACTGGTTGCGACCGAGATGTCTCGGTCACACCCCAGATTGGCCACGGCCGAGATGTCTCGGCCATAACCGAGATTCGCAGGTACTACCCTTCACATGCCAGGGATGGAGGCCAAAAACAGGAAAAAAAAAGAAGAAGAAATAAAAAAGAAAGAAAACGGAGTAACTTTGAATCCACCTACGTCGGGAATTTGTCAAGATAACGAAAGTGCTTCACAAGTTCGAAAGGAATCAAGCACCGATACCACTTCAACAAAAAAATTCCCACGAGAAATGAAAGTTGAAAAAAAATCCATACAAAAAAAATACTTCATATTTATAAATTATCATTCCAATGTTCGTCCAATTCTAGAATTTTCACTTTTATTTGATAAGTTCCCGTCTAAATATGAGCTTTCCCTTCCAACTACATCTATTTGTTCAAGATGGAATGAAATTTTGGACGAGTTTATGAAATGTTTGAATTAAATTTTTATTGTACTACAACAAATATGTTCTAATTTATATTGGATTTATCTATTTATGATTGAAAATCCTTACTTAAAATTACAGTCCAATTAAAATATTTCATGAACTCGAAAATATTTCATGAACTCGTCCGGACTTCCATTCCATCTCTAGCATGCAGTCCAAATAAGAAGGGATACCCTATTCTTGGAATGAAAGTTTGCAAGTAAGATGAAACATTTTTAAATTGGAATGACATTTTTTAAGATGGAATGAAAATTTAAAATTTAGATTGTAATTTTACTATACAATGATTATTTAATTCTAGGAATTTTTTTCGTTGTTATTCACACAACAACGTCCATGCATGAGAGAGACAGAGAGAAAGAGAGAGAGAAAGAAGATATAGACAAGGAAGCTTAGACTAAATAATCCCGAACGCGACGTGAATGAAGCGCAAAAACTGGATGGAATCATTCAAATGGCGAATGACCCGACCGGTTTCGGTTGACCGCCATACCAGCCTTCATCAGGGGTCTTGATTGTCGGTATGGAACTGAAATTAAGCCTCCTATGAGTACTATCCATAGTCATATGGAACCTACTAGAAGCTAACAACCTACAAAAATAGTCTAAGATTCAGTTCCAAGTATCACTTACCTTTTCCACAGAAACCCGGTCAAGACTCTGCCAACAAAACAACGTAGAAGATTCGAACTCGTTACCGTCACCTGATATACTATATCCACCTACAATATCAGTTCAGCAACGACGGTTTGAAACCTCACAATCCTTTCTGGCGAAGTTTTCGCGATCGAGGGGGAAAAAACTTTACACAGATTCATGCAATTATCATACCACGATTTCGCCACTGCAACACTCCAAGTTTCTTCGACCATCGAAAGTTCAAAAACACGCCAACGAAATAAATTCATAACAAGAAGAAGGAAAACGAACCTAAAAAAAAATAAAAAAAATTGAATAGAAAATATGACCACCAGCTTAACAACCAAGAAGCCTCTGAGGACCTACGTGACCCTATCTCGTCTGACCCCCTTTCCAGTCAGTGAGGACCGGTATCCATCTATTTCATATCCCCCCGAATTTTCGAGAGAAGCTGCATAATGCATTGTCAAAGATCTCGTCGAGGTAGGACCGCCGCCAGAGTTCCGTCTTCAAGGTGAATAAAAAAGGAAACTCTGTGCCTGACACAGTCGCGAAACGTTTTGCCCGATGTAAGAAGGAACTCACCACGACAGTCTTTTGTTGCTTGCTTGAATAGGAGCAATAATCCTGGTTGCTCTGAAAAATCAGTCGACCGTTGATAGGCCCGCGCTGATTCTTGTGGCATGGCATGCAAGCCACTCGAGTCGATCCATTAAAAATCTTCAATACACAACCCAAATAATCCCAACATTCGCCATCACTTGTCTTCTCCAAGACCAAATGACTGTCATACGAATGCTCGAAAAGTTGTAAAATCTTGCCTACATGATCCCCCGAGTCATCTCTCCTCCGCGTAACCAGGATAGAAACATCATCAACTAATCGAAAACCATATACCAACGATCGATCCATACCAAGAGAAGATAGGAACAAAAATTCATTGTATGCACAGAGGAGACATGCCAATGCCGGAATTGATGACTTTCCTATTGAGATTCCTACATTCTGCTTCAGCAACTATCCTGCTGTAAATACAAAGGTATTATTAAGCTCAAAACATATAAAATAAAAAACGATCGAAAAATCCAACCGCAACCATCCCTCTTCACTCTTCCCTCTGATCATCTTCACCTCCTTTCCTCTCCTTTTTATTGAAACAAACTCTATATCCTTTTCCCTCCAAAACTCGAGTACCCACCTTAGTACCGAAATAATAGAAGGGTGAGGTAGGTTAGAAAACATTTCTTTGACATCATACGAACATCCCACTAAAATTTCATCGTCCTTTACCAGCTTATTGACTCTAGCAACTTCACTCATCAGGTCTTCGGTGCACCTCAGATTAAAGTTCGACTGCTTCGGCAGATTCCAGAGCAGACAATTGACCACTTTTGAAATGATCTTACCACCATTCATCGACCCCTCACTAAACGAGGGACAAATGGGTCGCCAACGATTGATATGTTTATGTTTGGGTACGCAGTAAGTTTTCCCATGCTCACCGTCACTCCTCCACTTGCCCACTTTCGTCAGTTGCTGAGATTTGTACACCTGCGCAGCCTTATTTTGAATTTCGGCACTGTCAACAACAATCCTTGTAAAAGTCGGGTTCTCTAGAAACAATTTTCTCATGCCAAGCTGGTAAACAACGGGACAACAGACTAGAGTGTCGCTCATATTATGGTCAAGTGGACAGCAAACCAAACCTCGAAGTTCATTCTGCAGCTGGTAGATACCATCGATACAGCAGCCATCTCGATCAACCACCTTTGGAGGACACCTATTAAAACAAGCGTCAAGATTCGCGAAAACATTCGAGTCTGGGTCTAATGAAGGAAGTGAAGAATGAGAGTGGAAACCTTTCAAAATCTGCCTCTTCAAGGTGGCTCTACAATTGGAACTCGACGGTCTCAGAATATTTTTACTGTTTCAGGACCATTCTGGAACGGAAGCACACTCTGACAACCGAAAAGAAACGTGCCCATCTACACGCGAAAAGCTTCCCAAAATAGAATCACAGATGCACTTACCTTCTTCTTGCCTCGCGAACCGTCGAAAATAGTGAAGGACATCCCCCACTCTGCGATTTTGGCACCAAACTAGACGCATCCTTCGTACAAAAGCTTCCTTTCATACAACCAGGATCTCCAAGGTGAAAATCAACCGAGCACACAGCCTTCGCACAAGCACTTTGCTTATAACTTCATCATATACCAGTCTTACCATTAGCCGTTGTCTAATCTTCACGTCGAAACGACACGACACGATTCGAGATAAAATTTGTCTTAATCTACATTGTGAAAGTTTTTCGCTAAAGGTCCTAACTGCCGTGAATGCCAACACTAACTCCTCGAAGGTCACACCAATGCTCGAAACGAAAGTCAAGAGGGAGACACCCTTCGTTTGTCCCGAAACAGAGAATTATTTCCGCTTCAACCTTCTCAGTCGTTCACGCAAACCCGGACGACGACATCTGGCACGTTTACGTTTATCCTTAACATTTAATGACGGGGACAATATTTTAATAAAGAATTTCTCGCAGCATTCACGATCAGCCTCCGTGCACGAGCAAATGGGTAAAATAAAAAAAGTTATGCGGACCTTGCGTACGCAACCACTGATACAGTCGTTCATTCCTCTGATCCTTGTCAACCACATCCACACTAAATGCCCTATACATATGCTCACGCCATCGGGTGTGTAGATCCTTTGATGTACTTCCAACATATAGATGTCGATTCCATGGGGAAAATAAAACATAAACTACAGGTCTCTTAAAAGAGCAGAAGTCAAAATCATTGTTAACCAAATTTGTAAAGAAACCTCCCAACTTCACACCCCATGGAATCTGACATAACCCAACTAAAATCAGGATCAAGGAACATGCTGGCACATTCAACGACTTACTGCGGAGATAGTCCTTTGACAAGGCACGTAAACTTACACACTGTCTAAGAAGACCCCATATCGACGCCGCATTCGGGAACGTAATCACGAAGTCCCGGAGTTATTGCCGACCTCCGCGCTGTCTTGGTCATTCGGCCCATCCTTTTCCGAAACTTTATGAATCACGATCCCTCCTTTATGTGCCTTAGGTCTCCCACGTGCTGCATTAGCACGTCTCTGCGCAATCACTTCTTTCGTTCTCTCCAAGGTCGTATACACAATTCCCACTTCATCGCATATTTCTTGAATGAAATCTTTCTTTTTTGTTCTAAAAAACCGTCTTGTCTCCGCCAACATTGTCTCCCTTTTGGTGGCTTCTGCATCCCTAGTTGACGGAGTGACTGGCCTCTTCCCTTTGTCTGCGGTACCAACAACTGCCCCATCCATCCTCATTTTTAAATTAGAGACCACCAGTTTCTTGTTCTTTTTCATCTCTAACTTCGCCATTTCCTCTTTCAATCGTCCCACCTCTTGCTCCGCTTATCTTCTTCCATTCAATTCTCGCAACCTCCATTCCTTCAACCGTTCTATCTCCTGCTCCTGTTGTTCTTGGTGCGCTTTGGCCTCTTGTACCTTCCGCTTGTCCATCGGTGTGAGTCGAACCGGCGTTACCCGAGATCGTGTTCTCGTAGTCATAACTGGTATTGGAGTAAGTGCGATGTTGCCCCGCTTGTTGCCTGGCCGAAGCGCCTCCGTTTTTCACAAGTCAGCAGTGTTCAACGCCTCCTCGTTGACTTTCTTAAGCCTTGCAATCTCTTCCTCCATTAATGCGAACCTTCTGTCTGCACGGGCACGCTCCTCATCTTACTCCCTCTTAAACCTCCTCACAATCTCTTCCTCCATTAATGCGAACCTTCTGTCTGCACGGGCACGCTCCTCCTCTTGCTCCCTCTTAAACCTATAAAGTTCTTTCTCCGGTGTCGAAAACGTTCCTAACTTCTTCTGCGCCTTATGCAACTTTTCAATCTTCAGTCTTTGCTTTGCTACTTCATCTTTTTCACCCTCTTTGACCACCTTCGTTTCCAATAGCTCACGTACTACTTTGAGTTGCTCCCTCAAATTGTTCTTAATCTTCGAATGCAATTCTTCCCTATCCTTCTTTTCCTGTTGTCTCCTCTCCTCCTTTTTCCTTTCCCTCTCAATTCTGTCTTCTTCGTCCTTCTTCTTCTTTGCACGTTCCAGCTCAGCATCCCGATGCACCTTCAGCTCTGCAACCGTCAACTCCAATGTCTCCACGCTCGGTTTCAGACCACTGCCATACCCATACCCGTAGCCACCATACTGACTGCCTGCCGTTGGATACGTCACGAACGCATTCCCCTGAGCTGGTACGATAGCAGTATTCATATTAATATTAGAGGCAGAAGTGCCGACCAACCGACGGTCTGGAAGAGGACAGAAACGCGACAGATGGTCGGCCTGGCCACAATTATAACAAGTACAGATAATCGACGAGGACGAAGCCGGATTCGACACCATGACAACCGCGAACAGATCGACAAAGCCACACGCACGTAGTATGACCTCTACGGCGGTTACCTTGAGAGTAGAAGTTGTCGAGATAACGACAGTGCTTCACAAGTTTGAAAGGAATCAAGCACCGATACAGCTCATTCACACAACAACATCCATGCATGAGAGAGAGAGAGAAAGAAGATATAGACAAGGCAGCTTAGGCAAAATAATCCCGGACGCGACGTAAGTTATGAATGTAGTGCAAAAACTAGACGCAAGCATCCAGATGGCGAATGACGGGATCGGTTTCGGTTGGCCGCCATACCAACCTTCATCAGGGGTCTTGATTGTCGGTATGGAACTAAACTAAAGCCTCCTACTATCGAGAGTCATATGGAACCTACTAGAAGCTAACAACCTACAAAAATAGTCTAAGGCTCAGTTTCAAGTATCACTTACCTTTTCCACAGAAACCCGGTCAAGACTCTGCCAATTGAACAACGTAAAAGATTTGAACATGTCACTGTCACATGATATACCATATCCAACAACAATATCGGTTCAGCAACGACGGTTCGAAACCTCACAATCCTTTCCGCATCCGAGAGAAAAAAAACTTTAAACTAATTCATGCAATTATCATACCACGACTTCGCCATTGCAACACTCCAAGTTTCTTCGACCTTAGAAAGTTCAAAAACACGCCAACGAAAAAAAGTCATATTAATAAGAAAAAGGAAAAACAACCTAAAAAAATAATAAAAAAATAAAAAAATAAAAAAAATAAAAACAAAGATAGAATAGAAAATATGACCACCAGCTTAATAACCAAGAAGCCTCTAAGGACCGACGTGACCCCATCTCGTCTGAACCCCTTTTCAGTCCGTGAGGACCGGTATCCATCTATTCCATACGTCGGGAAGACCCTCACCTCACCATTGCTTTGAGGAATCTATCTGGCCACGAAGTGAGGAACATGAAACATGTCCTTTTCCTTTTTTGTTTCTTGTGTGAGGTCCTTGTAGCGCCCTGCCAGCTACGCAGGGCGGATTCCACGCGAGGCAGCTAACTGCCTCGCTTCATTCAGTTCTCGACAAACACTGTAGCATCCTGTATAGGATCGCAATCACAGCATAAGGGATATATTTTTTTTTTTTTTTTTTAATCTGCTGTTCGTGGATAGACGAGGGCCCTGACTGAACTRCTACCGAAAGGCAGCCCGAGTTTCAACTGCAATTGAAACTCGGGCCCTGACTAAACTGCTAAAACGCAGTTTGAAATGCAATTACAAACTGCTTTCGTGCCTGTGTCGTAGTTCAAAAAAAAAAAAAAAACCTGATGTTGTAGATCTTTTCAAGATCTACGTTACGCAATTTGTTTTTTTTTTTTTTACTTCGTCTTTGAATTTTAAAAATTCAAGAATTTTTTTTTTTTTTTTTTCTATATTATTCTCTCAACTTCTGTTTTTGCCTTTCACAACCTATTCCTAAGGCTATCTAGAGGGGACCCCTGCAAGCATAGTTTCCTCTCACTCTGAAGGAGAGATTTCATGTTGCCCCTTGCCCCTAATGTCGAGGGTATAGGGTTGGGCCCGCTAGTGGGGGTCTGGCTAACACAAAGACCGAGACCTGCCAGTAGTTGTGTCTCCCTTTCTCATCGTCCCCCACCCCTCATCGAGTAACAGCAGTGGCTATGACCAACACTCTCCCGCACACCACACACAACCCACTCGCGCTCGCACTCATACCCATGTTGGTCATAGATTCCACTAATACCGATCAAGAGTATCCAGGGGACTATCCCAGTCCGTTGGCACTAAGTGCGCCGCAGGCGATCATGGGGCTTGAACCCACAACCTCCTAAATGCAACTTGCGTGCCTAACCAATTGAGCTAGGCCGCTGGGACAAAAGTTGTTTCTATGAAACTTATATGTTTTTGTATTTAAAATTTAGTAAAGTTTTTGCATATGACCACAAGGCAAAAAAAAAAAAAGTTGTTCAGTTTATTTTTCTGCATTACACATTGTTTTTTCATATTTTTTTGATTTGTTTTGTTTTTTTATTTTTTTTTCTTCATGGCTGCGGGGTAGCGGCCAGGCATCGCCGCCGCCCGGGGGGATTCATAGATGTACCATTATTATAGTTGTATTTGAGTGTTGGAAAAGGCCTGGAAGGCCGACGAACGTCTTTGCTGCTTGGGTTCCCTCAAAAGGCCTGGAAGGTCGACGAAAGTCTTTGCTGCACGGGCCTGGGTTCCCTCAACCAACTGGCGCGACACAACTGCCTGGACCCAAATATAAAATTGACAACAATGGGCCTCTCGTGATTTGTTAGGCCCACCTTCACTAAGGACAGGCACATCTGTATCAGGGCCTCTTAGGCCTACCGAGGAACCAGATCCTCGCCTTCCGATAGTCCCATGGGAAGTCAATCTACAAGCAACTTTCCCTTGAGTTCTCTTTCATAGCCTGCAATCACTTGAGGTGTTGTTCGCTGGAGTTCTTCTCTAGTGAACCACCAATCTTCACTGGGATCAAGATGGTGTCCGAATCTCAGATGATATTGCATCCTTGGCTTGGGAGGACGGCCTCTGCCGGGAGGTTTAGGCACTGGCATCATTCGATGTTCCACGATTTCACCGATGTCCACATCAGTATCCATGGTTGGGGGCAGCACTGATTCCCTGGAGGGAAATTGTGAAGTCTCTGCGAAAGGTGCCAGTTTTGAAGCGTGAAAAACTGGGTGTGTGCGTAGGTGAGGTGGGATGGGAATCACATAGGAAGGTCTGTCTATCTGATCTGCCACTATGTCTAGGACCTCCGAAGGGTCGAAATACTGTGGCATTATCTTTCAAGAGATTCCCAATTCCTGTCCCAGTTCAGATGATTTAACCCAAACCCGTTCTCCTACCTGAAACTGAGATGGCCGCCTGTGCTTGTTTTCAAATGCCACCATGACATCTTGAGTTTTCTTAATGTGCTCTACAACCTGTTGCAGCATCTGTTCATATTTGACAACGCACTCTATGCTGCCGGGTGGTGCAGATGGCTGTATTTTTGGTAGTAGGAAATATAAGGCGGTTCGAGGCTTCCAACCACGATGCAGTTAGTTGGGAGTTATGCAAGTAGTGCTATGCACAACGTTGTTATATAAACTCGCAACGAGAGGCAATTTATCGTCCCAGTCAACCGGAATTGGCTTAATATAATGCCTCAGCAGGTGTTGCACTACTCGGTTCATCTGTTCCGCTTGACCATTTGACTCAGGGTGATTCCCTGATGTCACTTGCAGTCTGGTACCCATCTGTTGGGCTGTGTTTTGCCACAGTTTGCTTGTAAAGTGAATATCCCTGTCGCTGACGATGGACTTGGGTAAACCAAAGTCCCGTACCCAGTTAGCCATAAACACCCTGATGATGTAGTTAGTTTTGGCAGTCTCTAGCATAGCTATTAATCTTGCTGCTCGTCGATACTTGAAAAAACGATCTACTATAAGATGTGTCTTTTTACACTTCTACTGGTCACAAGAGTATCCATGTAGTCCATGGACACTATGTATCCCTCGCGGCGGCAGGCCGTGGGGTCAAGGCTTAGAGGGCGGCCATGTTAATGGTCGCATCCACGGCTTGGGTCGGCCGCATAGCTGGCACGTTTTTCACGGATTTTTTCCGTTAAAAATAATAGGGGAAAAAAACAAAACAAAAAAAAGTTCCTACAACCCCATATTTTGTTTAAGCGAAAAACGGATTAAATTAAAAAAAAAAAAAAAAAAAAAAAANGTGGGGTCAAGGCTTAGAGGGCGGCCATGTTAATGGTCGCATCCACGGCTTGGGTCGGCCGCATAGCTGGCACGTTTTTCACGGATTTTTTCCGTGAAAAATAATAGGGGAAAAAAACAAAACAAGATAAAGACCCTACAACCCCATCTTTTGTTTAAGCGAAAAAAGGATAAAATTAAAAAAAAAAAAAAAAAAAAAAAGGGGGAAAAAAAAAAAAAAAAAAAAAAAAAAAGGTTTTTGGGGGGGAATTGTGGGTTGGCAGTTGTTTGTCTTCTTCGATTTTATGTTTTTCTTATGTTTCTTTTTTGCTATTTTATAAGGAAAAAAACAAGGGATGAAATAATAATAATAATAGTAATAATAAAATTCTGTTATTTTGCAATGACGATTTGTACGTGTCTGTGTGTGTGTGTGTGTTGCGTGTGTGTGTGTGTGTATTGTAATGTACACATAGCAAATTATGCTATGGCTCCGTTCGAAACAAGCGGCCCGGCGTGCTACCGTTAGTATCCTCATTGCAACTCAAAAAGCAACAGTCGATCTCCCTTGCAAGCTCATGTATAGGCAAAAATGCATATAGGAATTCTCAAGAATTTTACCGAGCAGAAAGAGTCTTTTCCTATTTTATTTCTTCCTTCAAGCAAACGTCGGTTATCTCGGTATAATGAGAGCGCATTCATAGAGCAACAAAAGATGAGAGGGTCAAAATAAATAAAAAAAAAAAAAAAAAAAAAAAAAAAAAAGTGAAAAAAGTAGTCCGAAAAATGACAATCCGAAGGAAAACAGCTGGTCACAACCAAATTATTAGAAACATAACAGTATCCCGAATATGGTGTCCGACATCTCATCGCCATATTCCGAGGCTGACCGGTCACGAATCCCAATTTTGGCGGGACCAGCGTACAGGATTGAATTCCACTCCTAACGGTTGCAATCCCGTCGACCCACAGAGTCCTCAACAACTACTGAAACCATGGATGTCGAGCAAAAAACTCCCCTTTATGGAAGTCAGTCAATCCCCCTCTCTCCCTTTCCTCCTTTCCCTCCCTCTATCTCTGCCATCCTCCCAATTCCCCGCCCAACTAATTTTAGAACTTCCCCGGTCAGATCCCCCTGATTCGCCACACGCTGACACTGACCCCGACCACCAGACTTAAGGCTCTGCTTTCCAAAGTCCGTCACCGATCACCTCCGAGTCGCTAATAGGCACTCCTCCATTCACATCAGACTACCAATCTTTCAAGCAAACTAAAACCCGCATTCCCCTACCACCAGACCAAGCTGCATTCCGCCCATCTGCACCCGCCAATCCTTAAGAAGTTACGGAGACACTCTTGATAGCAGCGCGATGTGCGTAGGCTCGGCCAATACGTGCTACCCGTTGAGGAACATTAGTAACCATGAGAATCAGCGGAACAGGGACACTTAGAAAAGAGAAGAAGAGGGCGACTGCGCGAAGAGCTTGACAAAGGTGAAGTCATATGGACAACTCGAAGTCCACTGGTGTCTCCGCCAAGCTGGCACTCTCATACAACCAGGGCTGTGCAACAAAAAATGGAGGTGGCGGTTCCCTTAAGCGCTTTTCACTACTGCGCCACACAGTAGATCATTAGAGGGTCCTGCACAAACGACAATCAAGGCACACACATAGTCAATACCGTAGAGGGAAACGGAGGGAAGGAACAATACCACTTCATCGTTCGAGTCCGGCAAAACGTCCATGCCAAAAGGCAAGTCAACGTCTT